AAGTTGGTAATGTTGCAATATATCGGAATTATTATCAAAATCACTATGTATTATGCAATCTTTAATGATGTGTACACACATGATATACGTCATTAAAGATTACAACATGCATAATTTCGGTATATTTCAGCATCAAAAAATTTGGAGTAATTTTGACTACAATGTTCTCTCGGTGTAAAAAACATTTTATACTTGTGTTAAAATCGGCTATTGTTAAAATTTGTATGTTAAATTTTCAACGTACCCGTGTGTTAATTTAACATATTGCGTTTGTGTCATTTCAACATTTTGTGTTTGTATCACGTTATAAACTAATACATCTTATATATCTTCAGTGTCGATTAACGTATTAATTTTGCATGAATTTCTAACACAATATTTGCGTTACATTTCAACATATTCATTTCGTGTTAAATGTGTTCAATTTAACAGCCAATTTTCTACCGTGCGATTTGAAACTCGAAACGATAACGCGCGACAAGTGGGCATCCCGCGATTTCTTCGATTGTGAGTCGCGATTTGTGGATCCAGAATCACGCCAGCAGGCAGCGGGGGAGAAAGAGACGGTGGAAAGGGGACGCGGGGCCGGCGGAAGGTTCAGAATCTTCCGTCATCTTCGACGGTCATCCGGTCGCAACGGCGTCGGTGCATGATCGTTTACGAGATACTTGTTCGTCACTAATTTGCCGTGCCGCGAGTGGGGGCTGCACGCGGGGCACGTAGCGATATAAGCGGAACATGGGCCCAGCATCCGCAGTCAGTCAGTCAGTCATTCAGTCATTCAGTGCCCGGTAATCGTGCCCGCCCGGTAGGTCCCTTTCACTTTTCGTGTGCATGCTCCTCTCTCGACGCACCGCCGATCGCGTTGAAATTCGCGTCAGGAATTCCGCGCCGCACCCGTGGCGATTAATCGCGAGATCGTCTTTTTTCATATTTTTCTCGCGGTAGACTTGCACGAGGCGTCTCCTCTTTTTTTCCTCGTTTCTCGAAACTACCGGTTGCGGCTCGTGTGCCAAAGTCACCGCATCTTCGAAGTTTCGAGTAAATGAAAGTCGAATAAATGATTATTCGAGTTCGGTTCTTTTTTTTATTAAAGCGACACGAACATCCCGGTTCGACGCGAGAAATCCCGAAAAGTCGGATCAGTGCGGTAAGCGCGTTCAATTATCGGCCGGCGGAATCCGGGTCGCAGTTATCGGTCGTTCACACGGGAATCGATATTTTTATTGCGTAAAATACAGCCGGTACGTGCATACGTAAATAAGCGCGATATCGGCTTCCGCGGGATTTTTCCGGAAATTATGATTTTATCGTGTGCAGTAGCTTCGGAGCACGGAGTTACTAAATATAGTGCGTTGTTGTCGGGAATGCAGAAGTACATTGTAAAGCCGGCCCCCCGTATACATCGTTGGCAGAAATAGTCCGCGAGCGTGACGCATTCAAACTATACGACGTCGATATCATCCGCGCTCACGGTGTGTAGATATGCTAATGTTAAATTCAGTAATTACGTGGAGCAATTGCGCGCGGTTTACCAGGCGGTTTAGGGTTTTACGTTCAGGCTGACAGGTTAAATTAAACTTTCATAGACTCCCGTAGGTAGCACTTTCGATTAAGCCTTGCGATCAATTACGGGAGAATAGAATCGGACGCTCGTATTATCGCCCGCGGATTACCGTGGTCTCCATTGAGAACATGAAATTTATTATTCCATCGATGATTACTCGTCTCCCAGATTTGTTAACTTTCTGATATTACGCTGACATTGATGTTCGAAATTTCTGATATGACGTCCGAAATTTGTACATGTTCTTCGGCTTTGATACTTCTGTTTAATTGTCACGGGTTTAATTATCACCATTTTTTCTTTGTATAAAGTTTACAAATTTCAGTAAACATAAAATTTCAGTGAACGTAAAATTTCTTACTATATAGTAAATCATTCGTCAAAATTGTGATACAATATTTTCGAGCTCTCTTGCTTTATTTAAGGTTAGCCCAGATTATGATACTATAAATTTACAAGAGAGTACGAAGTTTCAAGGAATACATGCGCGCGTAATCAGACCATTGCAGTAAGTAGTTCCGATTAATCTAACAACGTAGAGGCAGCGAGTGAGAACACGTTCCATACATATGCGCAAAGTTGTTCCCACGATGGAAATCGAAACGTGTCGTCCTATGTATGTACTAGGTGTCCGCGAAACGCGCTGTCAATTCGCCGTGCTTATGTTAAAACGCACGAGCCGGCTGATCGATGAAGTCGCGCAGGTGTTCTGCAATAGATGAACACCTTTCGGATCGATATTTCGCGGAAGCTCTTCACGTTCCCCGAGCGCCCATGGTTTTCCTATCCTGTCCACCTTTCGAGGTATCTGGCCTGTCACGGAAAAATTCCGTGACACGTGTGTACTTGAATTGAGTCACGGAGTCGTTCTGGCCGCTAGATCGAGTCTACCTATAGCCGCGACATAAACTTTCCAACGAGTATTCGCGCACGGAATACCAGTAAAGCGCGATAATCGCGACTCGGGAACGTTATTATGTCGATACATAATACTCGAGAGGATAATCGCAGACGTTACTTCCGATTCACGCCCTAAATCCATATTTTCAGAAAATAGAGATTGCCTCTTTTCGAAAATATATATCGAGAGAAAGAGAGATGTTCTGGAAATTGCGAGCAATTTCATTCGTACACAGAAAAAATTAGTCCTGAATCAAGATTAGATATTTTCATATAAAAGAATATTATAATCTTTTTATAGAAGATTTTTAATCTTGAATTAGGTTCAAGACTAAACTAACTGCCTTCATCGGTATGAATTCCAAAAAATCTTCCAAGAAGATTATAATATTCTTATTTATACGCGAGAATATCTATTCTTGATTTAAAACCAATTTTTTCCTGTGTATATAGCGTGTATTTCTTTTTTTAAGTACTATCTTAAAATCTCAAGACTCTCTCTATGACACTTTAGGATTATATTAATTTCTAAGAAATATGGATTCAGAACGATATGGAAATAAGCTGGTCGAATTGACGTGAGGTAACGCAACGTGACGGACGAATGCGAGATATATTGAAGTTGATAAGCGCGTCGGGGGTATCTATTTCATTTCGTGAATTGCTCACGAGAGGCAATGTATCGAGGTTAATAACGTTGAAATCGATGAGAAGCTCCCCTTAATAAATGCGTGTACTCATAAAAATAGATTCGACGCAATATAAGGAGACAAGAGAGATATATCAAGACCAATAAGAGTGTCTCACAGCGTTTCTACACTTTGTCAACTGTGAGCGCGAGGTGATACGAGGAGAATCCCCGCTAATTATATCGGAATTGAGAGGAAGAAACTCTCCGATAACTGCATGCTCGCGTTCCATAATGATGAAGTGAGAGGAAAACGCGCCAATAACGGTTCAGAACGTTTGCTCGGAATTCCGCGTGTTATGCTAACAAGCGTAGAAACGCGTCGAGATGAATTAAATACAAGGGGACAGAAATGTGAAACGGGAGAATCCAGAGCACTCGAGTCTTATCGATCACTTTCGCGAGAGATAGAGAGAGAGAGAGAGAGAAAACACCAATTTCGCGCGTGTGCGACGTTTCAGTTCGTATCCCGAAGGCCATCCGATAGCTTCAAGACAACCATGAGATAAATCGCGTACGCATATATTCGATACGCACGCAACAGCACGGGGGGAAATAAATAGTGCGTGGCTTCATTTGTGTTACTACGATCGAGACGCAATCGACTCGCATATCGCTCAATAACGCAAACGCCACACGAGGTGAAAGTGCTCGCCTCCTGATATTCTCTGATCTTCTCTCTTTCTCACCTTCGACAGCTCTTTTTCATTCCATGCGGGCGCCTCGTCTTTTGTATGAATTACGTGAGCGCCTGCTTTCTTGAAACGCACGGTAATCTCACGAGAGGTTCGGCTTCAAAAACCCGCGTCACGTTATATCGCGCTGGAATATCGATTTGTCCTTCGCTCGTATGAGCATGTTATCGTGGGACGGCGCGCCACGTTAATATCGAGTCGTTGGTTAACGTTAATGGACTTCGTCGGGTGAACTCGTCGCTCGGTCAGAGGCTGCAAATGCACTGTACAAATTGCGTTCATGCACGTGAGACAAACGCGCAAATTGAGTTACGGCAGGTGGCCGGACAGAAAGAGAGGGCCGATCTTTTTTCCTTCTAACGCGAATGTGGGACGTGAAACGCTCGGTAGATTCTACGATTCTATTTGGAAAAGCAATTGCTCGATCACCCGAGTTGTAATTCAACAAAAGTAACGTTTACAATATCCATCTTTTTTTATGAGATCATGTAAAAAAATAGAAATATGTAGTTTCCGTAGCTTTGCACTCTGTGCGGAAATTGAGCAAGGATTTTTTTTTTTTGAAAAGCGATGTATGTGAAACGAGCCGCACGGCAAAAAATATTTGTATTAAAAACGGTGCACTGAAATTTTGTGTTAATTTAATACGGAGAATGTACTAAAAAGTATACAAATATGAGCTAGAAAGTACAACATGTTAACAAGGTGAATGTGTTAATTTAACATTATACTTGTGTACCTTTTAATACATTCACCATGTTAAAGTAACATAAAATTTCAGCGAATCTTTCTTAACACAATTTTTACTGCGAATGTAACTTGTTACGTATCTCAGTATATAGCAAAGATATAATATAAATTATTAACGAATGCAAATGAATGTGCGTAATGTATATGTATATGTATTAATTATAAAATATAATTTCTCTAGTAATTCTCAGTATTTTAGATTTCAAAATAATCATTTGAAAAAGAACGTGTCTTATCATTGATACGTATTTTTATTCCATTCGACCATTATCAATGAATTTTACGATATCTTCACCGGCTGTTGAAATATTGATTTTTAAGCTTACGTGACTCACCTTGCACGGTTATTTAAGCAGTGAATTTTTATGCGATCGTCAGTTTTCTGTTATTCTTTTTACAGTTCCAATACACGATGAGTCGAATGGTGATATTGCTATTGGGGGCTGTAACAGTCGTTACAGCTGAGGTACGTACAAAAATTCGAACATAACGCTGCTAATCCGTCGCGTGCTAATCCACTTTCGTGGTAATGAATAAATCGCCAATCGGCCTTTCAGCTTGGCACAATTGTGTAACGAGTGATTATCGTGACGAGCGCGTCGACTGTAATTAACAATATGACTCTCTCAAATTGGGACGACCATTACACGATGTTCCCGAATAAATGTGCGCCCGTAATGCTAATAACGATGCAATATGTAGAAAGTGTGTCCTTAAAAATCGCACGGAATATCAGAATATCTTATTTTACCTGGAGACATGTTGCTTTAACGAACTCAGGTTCTATAATTAGCTCTCATAACATTCAATGTTATTAATTAAAAATCGCGTGCCGCGAGTTTCATCGATTTATCGTCGAGAACAATCTTACCTGGATCCGTGTGAGAAAATCCTTGATCGTTTTACGATAACACGTTACTTTGCTGCTGGTGTAATCATACTGATCGCGTCGAATCGACTCGACTAGGAGATGGTGGCGGTCGTTCGCCTGACGCCACATGACGTTAGCGTGAAGAACGTCACGGGTAACCTGAAGATCGTTCAGTCCGTCCCGAATGGGCCCGTCACTATCACCGGAACGATCCACGGTCTCACAGAGGGGCTCCACGGCTTCCACGTGCACGAGAAGGGAGACCTGACCGACGGTTGCACATCCGCGGGGGCGCACTTCAATCCTGAGAACGTGAGTGCTCTGCAACGGTCGTTCACTTTTTCCGCCAAGTTGACGTCTAAAAACACGTCATTACAGAATTCGAGTTTAGTCGGTTCCTTTTACCGTATCGCGACATCGGGAATGAAATACTTGCTCGAACGAAAAGTTTCCTCTCAAGTTAAAAGTATTGGACTGCTGCAAAAGTTCGTCTCGTTTTTTTAAACAAAACGTATATATAATATTTATTTTAAAATACGATTAATCAATTTTAAGTCCGTGCCGTTTTGTTCGATGTCTTACTGTCTCTCCGATAATTGTATCATCATGCGCTCGTAACAATTTTTAGATTTCTAAGAGAAGAATTGATAAAAAAGCGGGATAAATTTTGGCATCAACATCTTGTTAAAAATGATCGGAGGATTTTATTTCTAAAAGAAAAAACACACGAGAGATTTAACGCTTCTTATTTTAATCTCCGATTTCTTCACTCCGACCGTCATAATTAATTAATCCTGCCTGCATAATTTTCATTAATTGTCACGATTATATGGAAAATTTGTTGCAATTATTCCTCGGCTACTCTTCTATTTTCTCCTCTACTGGTATATATTTAGTACTGTTAGGAGACTCGAATACACTAATAATTCCGTCAGGTGACTCATGGCGGCCCGGAAGACACTGTCAGACATGTCGGCGATCTGGGAAACATCCAGGCAAATCCTAACGGGGATGCGGAAGTAAATATCACCGACAATATCATCTCTCTGAGCGGACCGAATAATATCCTGGGACGATCCTTCGTCGTTCACTCCGGCGAGGATGACCTCGGCAAGGGCAATCACACTCTTTCGTTGTCAACCGGCAATTCCGGGGGCCGTTGGGCCTGCGGTGTCATTGGCGTCCAGTAGGTTATCCCCTCGTGAATACATTTCTCTCTCGTCTTCGCTTGTTCCCCCGCGTTAGCCGCCGTTTGTCACGCCGTGCTCCGTATCCATCCACCGTTCCTTGACTCGCAACCAGCTGTGTGTTCCCGCCTTCATACGTGTCACTTGTAACATTAAAATTGCCATTTTCAGATTCCCGGCGACGCGACGATATTAAACTACCCCGATGTCCGTTAATTTGCTTTCCGCTTGTTTGTCAATCCGCTGCTAAATATTCGCCTGTCGCAATTTTGCCGCGTAAGCGCATCGGACGGACGAAACGTCCCGTTCAGCGTTAGCAAACGCTTACCTTGGTGTTAATGTATGTCGTCACATAATGTGTATACGATATTAAGTATTATTGTCACACCATTATTGTAATTACTGATTGTAATCGCGATGTGTAATTTCACCGTTGTCGGCGTTGCCGCGCGAAAGTAGCAGCGGACGAGATCCCGTGGTTGCAGTACGCCTCATTGTGTTCCGCACGTTACAGAAAAATCTGAGATACTTCCGAAGGGAAAATGTCAGCCGTCGACGACGGGGCGAGAGAGAAAAGGATCGATACACACCTACTCACCACTTGTAGAACTGATACGCCCCGATTAGAGTTAACTCTCGAGAAACGATTACTCTCTGCAAGAACCCTCCCTTTGTAGGAACCGACGCCGCGTGATTTCGCGCAGAATTTCATCGTCTCGTGATCAAGCGAGCCTTGACGCAGCGATTAATAGGAACGACGCACGATGTAAACGCATGCGATGTAATATTGTCAAGCCTTTCGAGCTGTGTTACTCGGTGTCCGCTTTCTTTTACATGTAAACTTAATGATACTACATGATGGTACTACAAAAGTACATTACTTCGTTCCTCTCTTTGCGCTCATTCCTTTTCTGTCTTACACGTGCATCCTGTACAATCGATCGCTTTTCACGGACGTATATGCGCAAGGAAGGATTCGATTACAATGTTAATGTGGAAATATGTATGTCGTCCGAGGGCGTGACGAAGATAACGCTCTTCTGTTCGTATAAATTATTTCACAATCGTAGCAACACGTCTAGATGATATACATTACATAATGTGTATATTCCCGTGATAGTTACAAGTAGACTCGCGTAGCTAACTCGCTTCCTTCCTCTCGGGGACTGTGTATTTTCGTGCTAATAAAGTGGCCCAGCGATAATATTTGGTTAATTTACAAGCTTTTTGTGAGATGCGAATAAAGTTGAGAAATCCCCACATTGTTATCTCCACGACCGTTACTCAAGGGATACACGTCGGAGCTGTTTGCCATGTCGTGTTAATTGCGAGAGAAATTATCAGTATGTAACAACGACCGAATTACACATACAATTAGACACACACGCACGCACACACACGTACGAATAAACGATTGTGAAATGGTTCTAAGAATGCTTACAATTCTCCAAGGATTCTTTCGCTTACGGCAATACTTTTATATCACATATTTCGTTCATTTATTTTCTCCTTTCGTGACCGCAATTTTTTCGTATTACTCCGAACGTTGATAAATATTGCCGATAAATAATTTGAAGGCTCTTCGATATCTGTCCGCACATAAATGCGCAGCAATACGTATATATATAGACGGTGACGCGTATTTATTTAGAATTTGCAATTCCGATACGTGCACGTATATAGTCGAGACGTGTGCTGCGTTGCGTCGTTGGCCGCATTTGAATGTAGATACAAATCTCGGGTCTTACAGCATGCATTAATGCGTTTCCACGTAATTAGACTCGCGGACGCCCGGCATTTGCGGGGAGAGAGACGCGTTTTACCATCGATTTCCGGAAATCCTGGTGCCGGCGCGTCGTGCTTACGACCTCGTAATGACACGCAACAGCCCAGTTAAGGGTACAATTATCGATCCCTTTAATGTTCCTGCTTCCAGGTCGCCGACAGGCAGCTGGAACTCCGGCTCGTTCACCTTGCCGAGTGTGTCAACCTTCATGATATTCTTCCTCGTCGTCGCTTATCAGCATTTCAAGTACTAATGAGAGGCCGGTGTAATATCGTATCCTCGTCCAAAGACAGATAAATTACGTTCGTATTTGCATTCTCGAGGTAAGTACGACTGCGGGGGTCGTGAGACATCGATTGTCAGTGCTGACGATCCGACGATAATCGCGACCTCGGCGGTGAGAGTGAATGAGCGAAATTTCAACGGCCCAACGGGTCGGTTATTCGTCGAAACAATATTACTTCGTTGCAAAATATTCGGGGAAAATTGCCGGCCTGTTCGTCGTTTATTATTATCGTTGTCTCGGCATAACTCGCGAAACGCGAGCCGATCAGTACGACTCTCGTCTATAAATGTTGTGATAAATTGACACGGTAATTGCATTTACTATGTACTTGTGAACATCGAACTGCCTCCTTAGGTTAGATCGAGACATCGGAAAGATCGATTTCACGATCACGTGCTCGCGTTTGACTCGAATGACGAGTTTTCACTTGGGCCATCTAATCAGGCAGTTTCAGCGTTAGAAACTTAGAAACACTTGATTCGCCGCGTGAGAGCAAGAAGTGGTTCACTTAAAACGTTATGTGTCTCAGGTATATTGTCTACAGCGTGTGGTGCAATTTGCTATGTATACTTAATTACTTAATCACGGAGGACGTGCAATATGATTGAGCAATATTGCGATTTAGTGTTACAAGTTTTGCTCGTGATAGCTCGATTTTATCAATGTCGTTTTCATATGTGTCGATATGACGCTACGATTCATGGCGTGCACTTTTGCTTTCAATTAATTTCTCGTCGTTCCACGAGTTCTTCGACACAAACATATTTATTGATCGAAACATATTATTGATCAGATTGTAAACTTTCCCTATGTACTCGTGTCTCTCTCTCCCTCTCTTACTCGTCCATAATATCTCTTTATTGTGATTGTTGTTTGTACAATAAGACAATTTGCTAAAATAAAGTGTCGTTTGGTGTAAAGGTTACCTCGTTATTGCCACCTGTTGTCGCCTCGAGTACGACTGTAGAGCCATTCTTTCCAGCGCATTATAACGTCGATTAAACAAGTTCGCAAACGTCGATCAAACTAACGCGTTATCAAGCGCAGGGGTGAACGGAGAGATTCGCCGTTCGTCGCATAAATATCGAGCGAAATGCACGAAGTGTGGGGGAGGATGTTTCAGTGGCACGGCGGCTGAAACTTAAATAATGGTGTTATCATTATGCACGTACCATTACGTAGATAGGTGCAACTACCTGAGGAATGAGCGCGGTAACTGTGTTTATCGTGCGCTCCTATTAACCCATATACCCGCGTCTGTACGTACGAACGGCACGAAAGCATTTTCGAGCGCGAATGCTCCGTACATGGGCGGAACTTTTTCCCCCTGCGGTCGAGAGAGAATATCGAATCAGGAAAACTGTGTTATATTCGCGCGGCTCGCTGGTAACCCATATCGCGAGCGATCGGCGGCGGATAAATAATGTGACATTATTGAACTGTGCGCGCAGGACTCGAACGTTTAACGCTACGTTCGCGTTTCCGATCTCCGATAAAAAAAATTGTTGCGGTCGCGTCCGTCCATTTGTGAGCTCGTTTGCCGAGCAACGTCGGCGCGTTCGGAGTTAATTGAAGCGTACGCCGAAACGACATTGTGTCATTCCGCGAGTTAGCCTGTACCGCGAAAAATGGCGTGACACATTCCCCGGCTGCACCTTGCCCTTCAGTTAAAGGGCTGCATACGACCGAGTGGTTCCAAAAAACACACCCAATGTTTGAATTTTTCTGCTGATTGCATTATTGACTTTAGATGTGCTTTTGAAGGACGACTCTTCTTCATACTTTTATTTACATATGAAGCCTATTACAAAAAGTTGATATATAACGCTGTTATTACCGCTTCCGTGAAGCTCGTTGTCGTTAAACGATATCCAAGGTATCTCGGAAACTGCTGAGCCGATTTGCACTGTCGTTTTGCATAGATATTCTTAGTAAGATTATCTAATATTTGTCGTAGGATGTTTGATATCTATTAAATGTAGTATTTTCTTTTTATAAGCGAAAGAAGAGAAATGTTGTGTCGAAAAATCGAACTTTCGACTTAAAATGTTAATAACTTGACCACAAATTAATATTTAACAATCCGGCTACGACAAAGACTAGATGATCTTACTAAGAATATCTATGCGAAACTATAATCAAATCAGCCCAATAGTTCCCGAGATATTTCGAGTAACTCACTGAGTTGACTGAGAAGTCGGGAAAAGCGAGCCCACGCGCGTAACGTTCGAGACGACTCGTTAGAAGGGAAGATTGAAGGAAAGGAGGAAACGAAAATACCGAATAGTTAATCAACCCAGATATGAGTACGTAGAATCAACAGGGTTAACAGTTAACGTCTCGCGTACACGCGAGCCGTATCGGCAGTGCGATCGAAGTTCCGTCGAGGAACCTTCCCGCGATTAATCTTCTAAATCTCGCGTGGAGACGCCGTCAGCCGATGGCTTCCGGATCGATGAGGGTTCGCGAGCTAGGCACCGGCCGAAGAGGACACCGAACCCTCGGCCCGGCAAGTGGATTCACCCGTCGAAGTTCGTGGCCGGCTTTTACGAGTTCGCAAATACCAATCCTCCCTCTTATCTCACCCATCGTTTATTTTTTCCTTCTCCCTGGAATACAGTGGCCAGGATTATAACGGTGCGTCCGGGTAGCCATGGTTACCATCGGCGACCACATAACACCTTTGCCCGGGATGTCGACCAATGGCGGGCTGGTAACGCGCCGGGTTCGCCGGTGGGACCTCGCGCATCGCCCTGCCCGGACGACCAATGAGGCCGTCTCTACCTCTTCGTGTCGGCCTGCTGCTCGAGGATTTCGATCGAAACCCTTCGTCGCCACACTCGAAGAGGTATTACCTGGATCGCTCGCACTGACCGGACGGCCGTCGCAAGGGGCACGAGCGGTCGATTATGCGTCGCGCCTTTTGAGTTCCCGCGAGGCGTCTCCTGTTTGGAAGTAACTTCAACCGGACGAAGGGACAGGTCGGCACCATGGAGTCCTGCGGGATGAGCGTCATCAAGTACATCCTCTTCATCTTCAACCTGGTCTTCGCGGTGAGTAGAGTGAGACGAAGCGATTCTCTTCGCGGGTGAGCGAAGAGCGAGAAACGCGCTCTTTCGACCCTCTTCGCGGATCCCATCGAGTTCCTACGAATGTATCGTGCTTCTCATTCGTTTTTCCGCGAACCTTCGTCGATACACATTCGAGCTTGATACGCGAAGAGCCGCGGCGACGAGTGTTATTTTGGATCTCGATAATGTTCTCGAAGGAGGGTTCCGTAATCAACGCGATGCGATTTTCAATTGCTTGAGAAAGAAATTGAAGAGCCGAGTCGAAATTTGGATCCTACGTTTCAAGTGGAGAATACGGGAATAACTTTCCATTTGTAGCATCAAAGGGAACACAATAGAAGACCTTTGAGGAAAGTATTTAGTGTACAACCAAATAGATTCAACGTAGAATTGAAATTTCGACTCAGCAAGAGACGAGGAAAGGAGAAGAGATATGTATGGTCGGCACGATTAAATTTTCCAGATATCTGGCATAGGTATTATCGTGGCCGGGGCGTTGGTGTTGGCGGATGTCGGCGAATTCAATCACTTCATGGAAGGGAGGATAATGGCTCCGCCAATAGTGCTTATAGTTGCGGGATCTATCGTTTTCATTGTAGCTTTCCTAGGCTGTTACGGCGCGATCAAGGAGCATTACAACATGTTGATCGCCGTAAGTTGAAGGAACAACTGCGCATTGATAAATTACGCGGAAGCGTCATCTGCGAAATCTATGATATATTGATCGAAATAACATGAAGATATCAAAGAAAAATTATTTATATCCCACGCAGATCTGTACGCTGAAAACTGTGTTTTCGCCGGGGCGCCTCGTTTATTCGCGAAGAAAAAATATTACGCCGCCACGGCAAATTGTTGGTTACTATAGAGACAGCAAAAAGACTTGTTAAGAGTTGTTAATTGCTATCTGCCGGATATATAGACAGCAAGATCATTTGGTTATGCCGACTAAATTTGATCGCCGTCGCGGCAACGCTTCGCTGCAACAGCAAAATTATTTTTTCCGCGTAACGAATCTTCAGCAAAGTAACGAACGTATTGCCGTGCCAGCGAAATTCTTTTTCTCCGCGTTTATTCCCCGATCTGCGGGGTCGCAAATTAATCTATGAAATGATCTAGTTCGCGGCCGCGCTGTTAATAATCTTCGTGATCGAGCTCGCGGTCGGCATCGCGGCGGCGGTGTTCAAGAACGATTTCAGCATGGCGATGAAGGAGACCCTGAAGGAATCGATGAAGAACAACACGGAGGCCGACAAGCAGGCCTGGGACAACGTGCAGAAAAAGGTCAGTATACTGAATCTGGAGCGTGGCCGCTAATGGGTTCGTCGATATAAGGCGAGAGGCGATGAAATCGATGTAGCCTTCGTGCAGCGAGGAAAACAATGGCGATGCACGTTGATGATTACCGCCGGTGTTAGGCTAGGTCGGACGAAAGCGTCATTGCGTGCGAATAACGGGCGAGCGATTAAAGTCGCTCTTGCGAACTACTGTGCGCCAACGTGGCGCAGTTTCGTGTCTTCAACTCCTCTCGCTTCGTCCAGTTGGCCGAGGCGGCGTCTCACGATCGCCCGTTCGTGACCGTCCTTGAAATTATTCATGAATCAAACCGTGATCGATGATCGTTCGATTAATATCACTTGTGCGCTCAACAGCTGCAATGTTGCGGCGTGGACGGTCCTAATGATTGGAGCGCGGCTAATGGATTCAGAAACTTCCCGTCCTCCTGCTGCATGGATATGCAGGTGATATGTCAGCTCGGCATCCCGGCGGTGTACAAGGACGGATGCTTCAGCAAGCTGGAAATGCGAGTCCAGAAGGGCGCCACGGTCTTGATCGGAGTGGGCATCGGAATAGCTTTCGTGGAGGCGAGTATAAATGCCGTTTTATCTTATTTGTTCCGCGAGATATTTTACTTAGATAAGTCGAGGCTACCTGTGTGATACCGTGTCGGGACCCGAAGCGAGTCCCGTCGAGATCAAACTAAACGAGTTTCGAGTTAGAGCGTAACAAGGAAGATAAATAAATGCATGAGTTCGCTGATATCCCTTGTTAATGTGAAATTAATGTATACATTGTACATGCTTTTTCGAGAAAAATCACTGAATTTCTCACAGCCACGCTCTCATATCTGAAAACCCCGCACGGCGACATGTCGGGCTTTCCACCTCGAAATTACGTTCTCTTCCTTTCAGATCGCTGGCATCGTGCTCGCTTGCTGCCTCGCCGCCGCCATAAAAAGGGAAGGCGACAAATGAAACGAGGTGTATTGATTTCATTTCGCGTTGCGTTAGACCAAGCCGCATAATTCACCGTGCAATTCGAACAAATTGTTAGGGAAACTACATTCAATCATCGGCGAAGGAACGAGGAATCGAACACCGCGTTAGCTAACTGCCTCGTTTAACTGTTTACTCGCGCATTGACTTACCCATTCGCGATATTCGTTTAATTCATAGAGCGGTACAGAGACGAAGGTATTTCAAGTTTTCGGTAATCATACCCGATACGTTTATGTTACGTGTATTTTGTAATTACGCCGTGTGCTTTTGCCTTTATACGCGTAAGCAATAAGCGTAAACTGAATAATTGGAGAGAGATATTTCTTTAGAATAGATAAACATTAAATTTCTCTATTGTTTCGATTACATATTGAAATGATTGTTCTCGATTGACGCGAAAATACGTTGTTGAATGTTATAGATCGTAATTATAATATATGCAAAATATTATCAGATAACACAGGATAATCATAAATAATTGGTGTTGTCGATATATATTTATAAAATATTTTATGTATATTTTTTATATTTATACATATCGCGCTGATACTTTGATCTTGCAATCTTTTACTTATCAGAGACTCCATTTATTCAATTTTATTTTATTTTAATTATGAATGACAGATTTTTTAGATTAGAACTTACACAAAATGTAGATCGTAAGCGTATATTACGTTAGTCATGTATGTTGTTACAAGAGATATATTTTATCTTTGACAAATTTTGATGGGTGTATATTGCCATCGTTTTGATATACGATAATAGCTAGAGATATTTTTAATCCAGCATAATCATTGTTTTGTCTATATTATACATACACATATACACAAGTATCATTTTATATTTATTATTTATAAATAAGTGGTAATGTGGTAACCCCCTGCGAAAATAAAATGTCTGATGTATGCGTTGTGTATTAAAGTTTAATATCAATAATCTAGTATTTTCAAAAGCTCCGCATTTAGGAAACAAAGATTTGTTAACTTACGAAGTCCTGACTCTCGCAAGATTTCTTGTTAAGCACCTCAGTAGACATTTACTGAGATATTTGTCACGTGTTTCTGTAAATTAGAAAATATTCATTATTAATCATATTCCACGATGGAAAGAATGTTGAATCAATTGTAAGAATATAAAAGATATCGATAAAGTATCTTAGTTTCATCAATTTTTCTTCTAACAGCAGATTTTTTTACGGATTTTAAATTGATTGTTTCTTAGCGATATATTTTAATGAAAAGTTGCAAAAATAACCTAAAACTTTTTTATTTATAACATATTAAATATTTCAATATTAATTTCATTTCAAACGATGGGATATAATGAAATCTGTCAAGCGATCTGCTATTGGGAAGAAAAGCTGTGAATGCGTGTGACTTTATATATTATATATTTTAAAAAATATTTCACAAGTTACTAAAATAGTTTTTCAAAACTTCATTGACATATATATTTATATATTAACACTTGCAGGTGTAATCCTACATGTATTTTGTTTCGCCTCTTCGATATTATTTTTTCCGTCCAAAATTTCGACTTTTACGTCTTTTCCAGTCGGCATGTCTTTAGTCTCTTTTTGCTTTTTCTTTTCTTCCTTTCTTCCTTTATTCTTTTCTTCTAATTTTCTTCCCTCTTCTTCTTGTTTCTCCTCTTTTTTCTTCTCTTTTTCCTTCTCCCCTATTTCCTCTTCTCCTTTGTCCTTTTCCCTTTTTTCCTTTTCTTCCTCTTTTTTCTTTTCCATATCATTTTTCTCTTCGTTATCCTCGTTTCCGACATTAATGGACATGAATGGACGACATATTGCTCCAGGCTTTGGAATTTTCAGATTCTCTACCTCGCGTTCCTTTTTTTGTGTATCTTTAATGATGCGGCATTGCAGAGACGACAGTATGATCCCGAAGATCTACGTGCAATAATTTAATTAAGGATTTAAGTCGCAAAATAAGAGAAAGAAGTGTTAAGAAAATTTTAAAAAACAGTTCTAAATTAGTCGAAGAATTAGTCGACGTGACATTAACGATAATTGTAGGATACTCCATACACTTGGTAGTTTCTCCAAAATATTTTACCTCAATAAGCCCGGCGAATGCGAGAACAGAGAAAAGAAGCCAAGCGTAATAACGCGATATGCGAATGAACTCTTCAAAACAACCATTAGTTTGCAAATAAGGGGAACCTAAGGTGCAATTTCGTACGTTATTTCGGCAACAAGACGCAGGAATGGTTGTATTCCACGTAGTGACATCGTGAAGTCCGCAACAGGAAAGCTACAATTTTTAATCGTTAATTACGTTATGCGAGATGTTTTATTAATTAAACTTTTATTAATTTTTGAAAAACTAAACAATTTTTATATAATTACGGTAAAAAAAAAATAAACCTCCCCGGCGGGGAATCGAACCCCGGTCTCCCGCGTGACAGGCGGGGATACTAACCACTATACTACCGAGGACTGTTGAGATAAATGTAACTTTGACCGGTACACATAATGCAATAAGCTTCAAATATAAGTTAAAAATGTAATAATTACTAATTTTATATAACAAATATTGCATACATACGATTATATATACATCATATTATTTATATTACTCGTCTATGTTTTGCATTATCAATAATAATAAAATTTTTACACAATCACTATTTGTAGTTATATTAACCAATTTTATTTAAAAAAATTATAAATAAATATTGATCGATTGAAATAATATTTTGAATAAAAGTAGTTGATTTGTTAAATAATTCAATCTAATTATAAAAAATTTAATAAAAGAATTTGTCAATAAATAATGAATTAACATGTAAATTCACCTTGGTATGTAATTTATCAATAATGTATTTATTGTAAGTCATATCTTTTTTCATTTGTTCGTGCAAAAGACCTTTCTGCGTATAATCCGTGATTACACCTGTCGTAGCGGTATAAGCAATAGTACCCACTAGAAACGCACCTAATAGTATTCCGTTCTGAGAAATAATTATAATTTTTGATATTCTGTCATATATTTTCATATTATAAGATATGAAAGGTGACACGTTAAGTTTTATGATGCAAATATAGAGAGTGTTCGAAACTTTTCTTTCGAGCGCTCGTGTAAAGATAGAATGGGTTAAAGTGAGTAGAAAAATCTTTTACCATTTTGCAAACAGCCATCACCAATCAACCAAAATTTCGGGTTATTAATTATTGAAAAGGGCTATATATAGAGACTTTTTTAATTAATAACTTTTCTTTTAATTAATATCTCAAAAATTCGCGTGTTATTTGCAAAATAATACAGGACTCTTTGTTCAGAGTGGCCTAATCTACAAGTATATGACAGCTGTTGTACCTAGCGACAAGTATATGACAGCTGTTGTACCTAGCTGTTGTACCTAGCGGTTTAAGGTTCGACGTTTAATATACTAATGATTTTACATGAGCAATTGAAAGAAAAATTTGGGACACTCTGCATAATAATATATATTATAAAATATAAAGAATCCGCACACAATAACATAACACAATAACATAGTATATTCTATGATAAAATATGTAATATCATAATCTGTACGAGAGAATGTACCGGTTTTCGTGCTTTGTGGTAACGTTAATATTTTCCAATATATTTCCGTGCGTTCTCTGTCGGAGCGGATAAAATTAAAGAGTACCGTGAATAAACATTTTGGGCGAATTAATTTTACCAATGTGCAATTTTAACGTCAGCAATTTCAACGATCGTAAATCGCGCATACCAAGAGACACGACGCATCAAAATTATGATAAAATGCAATCCGTCGCGCACATTGTTTCGTGTCACAGGGGATGATTTAACGCGCTTACCGCCACCGTTGATTTATAGTCATTTTTTGCACCGGCAAAAATACCAAGCCAACTGATCAAAATCAGTATGATTGAACAGACCAAGAAAACGTAGACGTTTATGCTCTGATAGTGATGCAACAGCGTCAATTCGTCGCATAATTTCACTTGGCTGATAATACTCAGGGCTAATCCACCTTTTCCTAAAAACTTTTATTTTCGAAGAGATAACAATTAAATTACACAATAATATAATAATATTTATTGTGTTTTTTATAATAAATATTGCAATACACTTACGGCTAAAATGAAATTACTGAGAATATGAAAGGCTTGAATCCACAGTCGTACATTGCGTTGCATTGGATCTTCCTGGTCACTCTTCCTGGTCATCGCGTGCTTTTTGGTTTAATTACACGCTCGATAACGGACAGAATGAAAAGTTTGGGAAAACTTCACACACGAAGATCAAGACTGTTCGTCGATTCTTTGACAACTGTGTTTCTTGTGACACACATTAGTCTTACCAGTAATGTCTTTCTTAAATGATACGTCTTATCTTATAATATATCTGAACATATTCTTTTCTGCTGCACTATAAGTGATGTCTTATTTATGTGATATTGCGATTACTCGTTGTACATAGAGTAAAAGATTATAACCGATTGTCGCGACTTTCGTAAACGCGACTTTCCGTTAACAGAATCGATGTATAACAGGTAAAATAAATGTGAGTTAACTGGCGCAAAAATATCTCGTCGACGCTCTGTTCCTTCGTTCCTAGCAGATACAATTATGTATAAATGAAATCAAATATCTCTCACAGGATTCCTCGTGAAACTACATTGAAGTTACTCTTTCATTATTATAACTTAAAAAGTGTCCTACAAATTCAGACGCTCTACGTCTTTTGAATATTTCTCCACATGCGTCAGAAATCGTTAAAGTATAAAACAATTTACACAATTATCACTTTACAAACGGCTTCTCATAGGTCATTGTCAGTGACTTTTGTGCTAAATCCCACAAAGATTAAAGTAATTAGTGTGCGTTATCAGTATATCTTGGCGTGTAAAAAGGGATATTAATTAACGTGATAACTGTTAGTGAAAAACTGAAAAAGTATAAATATCTTGGATAGCCATAATTGCGAAAGTATTATGATGTCATAGCTTGTATAGTTTTTCCAATGGATTTTATCTGTCGTGATAAACCAAGTACCATCTTTCACCTATATATTTATCTTTATAAACATAGTTATATTTTTTGCGGATTTTCTATCATAAAAACATTTGTGCCATATAATAGAGTTGACAATATGCGCATGTTGAAAGAGACGCAACAGTAGCAATAGCAAATAATATTAATAATAATTTGAAGTTGTGCATTGGTTTCATAATAATTTATATTCATATTTGCCCACGTAATAAATATTCCTCTTTCCTTAACTTGTTTTTTCAAAGGTTGATTTGATAATGTCATATTTTTTAATAGAAATATTTTCGCTTTCACTTATCAAGCGATTCATCATTTGTGTTTATCGATGTGACGACGTATATTAGCGGTTTCCTATCTGTCTAAAAAAGATGTGTTTCAAGGACATTTGTTTTCTATCCTTTCTTTTCCGGGATTTATCTATGCTGACTCGTATTGTATCTTTGATCTATGCGA